ATATATATATNTATATATATATATATATATATATATATATCTTTTCATATTTTATTGTTTCTACATTCAAATAAATCAAAATTGAATTTTTTTAATAAAATATTATAAACAACATGATACATTTTAAAAGAAAAAACAAAAGAGCGAAACGTAATTCAATTATTTAATACAATAAAGCATGATAGAATTCATTATTCTACAAAACAATTGTCATATGTATATACGTTAACGATATAACAATATTAGTATCATATATAATGCAATTTATTTTGAATGTCAGTGGTTAGTTATATATATACAATATTCAAGTTATAACCTTAATAATAATATAATCACACTGGATTTTTAGATTTTGGAATGCCTAATAATCATATAAGAGTCAAATCGATTCACAAGAAAACATTGAAGAAAATGGTTGTCTCAATCTTATGATAATTAATCGTATTATTTTTTTTTTTTTCATTATTAATGTTGCATGCTTTACCAAAGATAACACAATCCATAATAAACAATATCATAATTCTACTAAAGAATGATTATAAAAAATTATATATTCACAATTTATACAATTTAGTTATACTTAGACTAAAATGTGATGTTTTTGTCATTCCTTATATATTCATAGAAGTTTTTGTTTCAATAAATTATTAAACATAGTAAATAAGAATTACAATAATAATATAGTTTTTTTTGAAAATGTGAACTTGAAAACAGTTTTGGAAAAATTAGCAGTAAGTATCTTCTATATGATGTGATAAAGATCTTGTAATACAATGCATATTTTTAATATTTTCTCTTAGTACCTGTATTCATATACATATAAAAAAGTAAAAAATCAAATACATAAAAAACATAAATCATTATTTTTTCCTTAATATCACATATTTTATATTGAAGTGACTAATCTGTAAAAGAAGTTGTGTATGTATATATATATACATACAAATATATATTAATTTATACATAACTTTGAACATATGTAAAAAAATGAAAAGCAATAAGTAATTGATTTGATTATAATTTAATTTCCATTTTAATAATTTATATTTCCAAATTGAAATAAAAAAAATATAATTATAATAATATTAGTTTTATATAATATTAATATATTAATATCAATATATGATATTATTTTTATAACATAGCATTTTTTTATTTTATTTATATATAATATAATAATAAAACAAATTTTTTTTATTTTTTAAAATATAATTTTTACTTATCACTTTTCATTATACTCTATTGATTAATAAAAATTGAGCAAGAAATATAGGTAACATTTATGAATAACAAAGTATATGCAATAGAAAATTACATTTAAGTAAAAACATATTATAAAGTAGCATTTATAGTATGCATAGAAAATGCAAACAAAAAATTTGTTTACAATATATTGTCTATATTAATTTTTTAATATTGATCATTTTAGTGCCACATTATTTATTTCATATTATTTATTTCTAAGACAAATTCATGTCTTATAATTACTTTATGTATTTATTTATAATTTTTTAACATTGATCATGAAATATTGAAAGTATTTTTTAATAGAATTTTCAAGATAAATAAATAATTTTATTATTTAAAAAATTATTTAATAAATGAATAATTATTCAATGATAATAAGAATCAAATTGTTGTAATTAGTTAATAGAGTATATATACTTTTAATTTAAATTTTTAGTAAATAATATATGTTACCATAAAATTTGAAATTATAATATAACATTAACATTTTACTTAAACACTTGTTGTATTTGTAATGCTGTACAATTTATTGTGAAAATAATGTATAATACAATTAAAATTTATCGAAGATTTTGCTAAATAATAGGTTACAGGTACGACAAAAATTATTTCTTTATAATAATCAATATTGTGTTAATTTTTTCATGTAACAAAAATAAAGATTTGTTTCTATTACAAATGTTATAAAGAATAATGCAGATACTTAATATCCTTGTACATGTAATTTTAATCTAAATTATTAAATTTTAATTGATTTAAAATGAAAATAAGAAACAAATATGCAATGAAAATAATATATGTTTACAAGTTCAAAGATAAACAAAAATAATGTGTTTGAATTAATCAATTTACAAATGAATATAAAATAAGTCTATCCTCTCCCCATATTGCATATCTGATACATAAAGTGACAATTTATATTTTTCCATAATATTAGTTTTACAATCAGTAAGATAGATTGAGACAACCCTTTCCATTCGCTCGCAGTATCTAGGATAATTAGGAGCGCTAACTTAATTTAGTGACTAGAACAATAATTAATATAATAACGACTATAATTGCGAGTAACAATAGGACAAAAACTTTTCGTCGATATTTACTTTGGTAATTACTTGCCTTGATTAACTCTTGTGCTCCTAGTTCAACATTCCCATGTACATTTTCTATATGATTATCTATTGTATCTATAACAAAAAAAAATTATAAGAAAATTTACAAAAATTAAGTATTTATATGAATAAAACAGAATCACTTACTGATTGTATCTCCTTGCTGATATACCAATGCTGCCAATTCACGCATTATTTGGTTCACATCCAAAATATCTCCTTCGATCCGTTTTATTCTATCTTCTCTTTCTAACAGTAAACCTTGTTGAAATTCAAGATTCCTACGCATATCAGAAAAATGAAATTACTTGCAGATTACATTTTTATTATTTTTTGATATAATGAATAATGTTATTTCAGAGTTTGTATTAATATGCATTAAAACAAACTTACCACACATTCAAGTGTATTTTATAACTTCTCTATATTAATAATATATGTTGTAATTATTTAATCTTTTCAGTGAAATTTTTACATTCAAGCTATTTCAATATTCATATTATAAAATCCACAAAAATACGCTCATCTTATAAAAATCATGAAAAAAGCCTATTTGAATTTTAAATCTTTAATAAGATTAATAATGTTAGCCATCTCTGAACCCATTGTGTGCAGACTGTGAGAAATAGTCAAGCTTTTTTCACTATTTATATGTGCAAATATAGCTATGTATATTTATTTATAAGTTAATGTATAGTTTACATTCAAACCTTTGTGTCACTCTGTGTTCATCCTCCTGAGCTTGAAGTAAACGTTGTTGTTCCTCTTCTTCTGAATTCATAGGATTTTCTATACTAGTTGTAAGCAAAATATGCCTCTTCATTTTTTCCACAATTGACTATAAATTTTATAATAAATTTCATAATAATAAAATTATACTTCAATAAAATTACAAAATACATATTAAAATATTACTTACCTTTTGCATATCTGAATATCTTTGCAAAGCATCCTTGAAATCAGTAGTGAGTTTCTCAATTTGCAACTTCTGTTGTTTATCACCTCGCCTCATTAACACTGTCAGTCTTGCAATATCTTTACTTGTTTGTGTTACTACTTGATTTGTGCTTAATTGTGTGACATGTCTTATAAAAAATAAATAAAGAGAAAATAAATATGAATAAAATATAAAATAAAGAAATATATATTTTATTATTTATTATTATATATATATTTTATGTAATGAGCTATTAATATTATTTTTATTGTGTTTATATTAACAATATATAATTTTTTTTCATGAATATTTTTAATAAATATTATATAGTCTTACATGATCTTTATTTTAGGTGATATTTTATATTACAATACAATGTAAAAATTACTTACACCTTATCTCTTAGACCCTGATTATCTTTATTGGTTCCAACATTTTTATATGCTCGTTCAAGTGTTCTCCAACTTGTATTAATTGTATATATATTAGTTGTAATATTTTCACTGAGACTATAAAGTTCAGTAGGACTAAATCCTACATCAGGTACATCTGTCCGTTGATCTGTGGACCCATATGTTTGAGAACTATAAGCCATTCTAAAAATAAAAACAAATTGCATTATAATCTCTTTCATTCACAAAAAATTAAAATATTTATGAATATTATAAATTATATTATAAATATTAATGAAAACATTTTCATCTAACAATTTTTTTACATGCAACTAATGTTTTCATATATAAATATGTAATAAAAGTTTTATGACAAATCTATGAAGAACATTGATATGCTATCATATATATGAATCATTATTAAAACTTTAACAACGTATACATGTACAATAACATTTTTATATATTGTAGTTTATTTAAATTAATATAAAATTAATGTAATTTTTTATATAATTTTTATTATACCATTAAATAAATATATATTTCGTATATTCAAATTATGTATAGAATTTTAATAAAATTCTATATAAATTATGATTTTATATCTTTTGTCGATAATAATACCGTTAATAAATGCAAAATTTATTAAATTACATAAAATAATATAATGTAAATATTAAATGAATATTTTTAAAATTATTATAAAAAGGATATATTAACCCAATAATATCATACAATTTTATATGTTATATGAATGTTATAATAAATTAAATCTTAATCAATGTATTAAAACCATTCTGCGTGATTGCATAGAACAGAATAATCATCTAATACTATATGACGAATATACGAAGAATTAAATTAATGTAAATTAAAAATATAAAGTATAAATGAAAATAAACATCACGAACTGTGCAACAAACCTGAATTATTTTATCACAAATATTCTTAATATCTAAATATAAATTGCTTTATTAATTCACATTTAAAAATCAGAAGAACTATTTTTATGTATCGAATCTTAGAAACTGACAGTTGCTTAAATGATCTAATCCACCGCCCATGTGACAATAGTCTCTTTGTATTCACAGCCGCGAATTTAATAAATTCCTATATTATCAATATTTCACATTTTTAAGTTCTAATATGATAATTGGAAACAAACATTTTAATTAATGTATAATAAAACTATATTTATTCTTTGGTAATAAATTATTAATAATACAATGTATATTTATCGCATTTTAAACTTGCTTGTAATATAAAAGTAAATAACTATAGTTTAACATGTCTATAACACCGTCGATACTACTAAATTCAAAATAATATCTTATAAACATTATTATATCTTATTGCAATATAAAAAAACGAATTATAAATCTTTAAATTTTTAAATTAATTTTTTATAAAAATTTGTTATTAAATTAAGTTAATAAGAAAATTAATTAATAATATAAAATTATTTTTTAACAACTTATAGAAATGTGTCTGAAATGCCGTCTTATATATTACTACCGCTAGAATCAAAAACAAAACTAATAATAAATTTATTTTAATATTTTTTTATATATTTAAAACGATAAAAGTAAAAAAAAAAATAATAAATTTTTCTGTTGAGCAGTTGAAATCATGAAAAAGCTATCTTCCTGCGGAACCGGAGGTTAGTCGCATGGCGGACACTGGCTTGACAAGACATACGGTACGGAAGTTCCCGAGTACGACCGACAGATTGCGAAAGCCTTCAGAAACAACCGTCGGCCGTAAGTAAACGCTATTGTGATTTCTCATCATTTTAATTCCTAAAATTATGCATTTTTGGTTGTGTGGTTGCCGCGATAACGAATTTAACGCTAGATTACCACGCCGTATATATTTTCTTTACAAAAGATCTTACTAAAAATCTTAAAATTTAATAGAATTTTCTCGAGGGTTGCTTTGGAGTCAATATAGCTCGTACATAGGTCGTGCGTCATGTCGGTCCTGAACGCATCTTCCATTTGTCGATTCTTTATCATATTTTATTAATTGCTTTCAAGTATAACTGCAATCTTTTTACTTAATTAATTAATCCTTGTTTTAGTATTAAAAAAAAAGATTGTAATTCAAGAGTGGTAATCAAGTGTTGTTTTCGAGCACCTACGCAACTTCTACTTTTGACATTTTAATCGGTGTGACTTTTAGCGTAGGTTGTTCTATAGCTTTTTGCATGTTTATTTTATATTTTAAGAACTTTATATTTTAATTCAAAACACATATTTTTTTCTAATGTTTCCGACATGCATGAACATAATTTTCGATGTTTATAGTAATTTTCTTTATATAATGTTATCTGGCTTCCTTTTGGACAAATTTTGAAATTAATACGTTTCCTCAGTATCGATTGTTGGTTGCTTTTCATTCACTTGATTAAATTGAATCGTTATTTTAGAAATTGCTACTGCTTACGTCAAGCATTTCTTTTTTCAAAAAATTATCTATATCTTATTTTATTTTTGAATTTTTATTAATTATTTTTCTGACAATATGTTTTATTCGGTTCGATAAATTTTCCACTATTTAAAACATTCATTTTGCAATGGATGCTCGGTAGACTCTTATAAACATACATATGTACAAATATGCATATGTATCATCGATCAATGTGCACGCACACGCATAAGCATGCACGAAACTAAGCAGGCGTATACTGTCATTTCTGACGTTTTGTTAGAATTTTTGTGCAAATATGATTTTAAATTTTGAGTATAAAGTCAAAATACAGAGCAGTAAGCTTTTAAGTATATATTAGATCTATTTTATATATTTAACATTAAATCTGATTCTTTTTAATACTTTATTTTATCTATTTTTTTTAATCATTATTGTCTATTAAAATTAAATTAAAAAATTCAAAATATTAATATTTAATTTTTGCATTATTGGCAAATTAGCTTTTTGCATTTTGGCAATTATTCTTTATCTATTTTCTTTTACCACAATATTGAAAAAAATTAATTTTAATAAAAACTGAAATTATTATATTTTTTAAAAAACTTAAAAGAAAGTTATGATTTTATAATGATTAATGAATAAAGGATTTTATATTGCGAAGTATAACTTACATTAAATTAATTAAAATGGGAATATTTATTTTGATCTGAAGAACTTTGTTATTTTAATTTTTATAATAGTATACTAATGGTCTGGAATTTTAACGATTGCAACATTTAATACTTGGGGCAATGTATTACGCGCACTCATAGCAAACGCATTTACCGTGTGCCTTTAAATGCTCGCCCATATGACTGTTTCTACGTCGGACGTGTGACGACCGTATGTGGCCTCTTTGTTATAGCAGACTTAAACGTTTATCGTACTATGAATAGACGTACTGATTTTCTTTCAGCTGTCCACTTTGTACGACTAATTTGCACTCTGATACGTAATTGTGTCATCTACTAGAAATTTTTTAATTTTTATAAGTATGCACGTATCATTTATGTAGATATAAACGAATAAAAGCGATTATGTCTATTTTACAAAAAATTGCAATTATAACAATAAGATTTTAATTGAATTCGAAAAATGTTTGGGTTATATGAAATTTATTAAACGATGAAATGAATTATATAAATTAAATAATATGAATTATCGTTATACAAAAATTTTTGAAACAAAGAATTTGGATTTCCTTTGTAATGCTATTCCTTTTATAATTATAATCTATAATGTTGGTAGTATTATAATGAATATACTTGTTATCTTTTTTTTTTAAAGACATGTTTTGGAATTTTATTGAAAGTATTTTCTATAGATTGTTTTAAATATGAGGTGAAAATGTTTATTCGATTTTGAAGCATTTCACTTTCTTTTTTCTACAATTTCTGCTGATCTTATGCATTGTCGGCCTTCAAAAGTTGGCACCCTTGTTCTAACTTGTGGAAAGCAACCGTCACGGCGCATCAGTGACGTGTCATGAGGAAACAGAGTATTGGAGTGTTCAAAGTATTCAAAGAAAGATAGCAACTGTTCATTATACATTTCCTTGTTATCTCTTCGTTTACTGACGACACGTGTCTCTCTTTGTGCATAATTATTTTTTAAGGTCTTGTTTAATATCGTTTCAAATAATACATGTTAAAAATATTATATCATTTCTATTCTTGTTTTATTTAATCATTTTTATCAATTTTAATATATTTTAATTTTATTCATATAAAATTTTTATTATATAGTCATTTTTAAAGATATTCTTAAAAGTTAAAAGTTTATAAAATTAAAAAATATAAATTTGTTTGAAATTGAGAAATAATTTCGAAAGAATGAAAAAATCTTAAATTTAAAATTTTTTTGTTTTAGCATAATAAATTTATAAATATAATTTCAACGCATTTAATCTGATATGAGCTATAACTTTGTTTCAAACAATATAATATTGCTGTAACTGTTTCTCTTGGAATTTTGAACTTCCGGTGTCATGATCTCAGAATTCCATGGATATTGGAATGCATTATCTTCGTAATGTGTGCATGTTTTATGTAAATTCATAACTTATAATAAAATCATTTACAAAATTATTTAATTGTTTAAAAATTGTTTAAAAAGAAAAAATTAAAATATAAAAGTGAAATATTACTATCAGTAATTAATCAAAATTTGATCATATATTTACAAAAGCTTTTTCGAATATAAATATTTCATTTGTCACATGTAATTAAAAAATATTCGTGCGATAGATCTTTAAATATATATATTTAAATTTAAATTTGAGCAGATAAATTTAGAGCTGCGAAGAAATTTCAATCGTTATTTTAGTAATTGAACTAGTAGTTACCTTCATAAAACTACTTGTCTGACAACAAAGGTAATATAAGTTTAAAAGAAAACGAGATTGGATACCGGTTTAATGCACTAAAGAAATTTTCAATGCGAAGCATGTTTCAGACGACGACCTTCGTCGTGCAACTTTAAAGCAATTCTTCTTAAGTCATAATGTATGTATGTACGTATTTGACTATGTTTAATTTTCGCTTTTATCAAGTGAGAAACTTTGTACTAATATTTGTGTACTAATTTTTGTGAGTTACATTATTAAACTTTCTATTTATAAAAATTATTCAAAATAACATAAAAAATAAGTACTATATACTTATTTCTTTTATAATATGTTATTATAGTTGAGAATATCAATTTATTCTTAAAATTATTTTAATTAAAAAGAATTTATGTATTTATTCTCTTAGAAAAT